TCGGTTCGAATGGAATCTGCGAAATCGGCATATGGGTCGAGAGGAGCAGGGTTTCAAACGTTGCTGATCTCAGTACACTCTCTTTTTGGGGGGAGCCTGCTAAAGAAATTGTCCAACCAAAACATGTTGCTGCGCCTTCTTTCAAACAGTGGAAGCGGTGTTGGGTTCCGGATTAGAATTCTGATGGGCACCTCTGTCAAGCCCCTACGCACGCTGAATCCATATGGACCCAAATGAATTTACCTCCCGCAAGTCTTCCATGCCAAATCTTGCCGAAGACACCCAGACTCAGACGGTTTCAGAGGTGGAGGACATCACAGCACATTGGGTCGCACGAATCTGCCCTTTCTCCGCCCGCAAGCTTTCTGCGTCCTAGGGAGCACACCGTGCCAGAGGGTGTCTGTAGCTCCACCGAATCCTCAGCGTAGCTTCGAAACTTCTTCGTCCCGGTTCACATGAGGCACCAACGCATCGTTCCCCCAGAACATCTGTCAGTTGCTGTCTGTAGATCATCATGGCCATGCCGGATGCCCGGCATGAAGCACTTCGTTGCTCTTTCAAAGGCGAACCTCCAGGGGCCAAGGCTTTTGGGCATGTCGCCGCTCTACCCCGCACCACAAGGCTTGGCCGGCAGCGTCGTCGGCCGGGCACCCGGGCCGATTCCTCCGAGGACACGTTTTCCGTGAGGTGCGATGGCTTCTTCACAGTGGCACCTGACCGCTTGGTCCCAATCCGAGCGACCCAACGGGGTCGCTAATCATGAAGTATAGACATTGATATACGAAGTATGTGTATATACCCTGGGAGTCAAAGACTATCAAAAGAATGGTCTGACTAGGGGACCTGAGTTTGGGAACTTCCTTTACTTCAGCCGGTCAAAATATAGTCCAACTGGACTTCTGATGTATATATATATATACTTATTATGTTTATTTACAGTTTTTATTTATGTACAAATGTGCTATCTGTCTTCTCCACGTTTGCTTGTATATTATTGTAGATGAATCCAGCGATGGTGCACCCTCCCCTCTCTCCTGCTCCAGCATCCGGATGTGAGACGCTTTCCGGCTCATCTGCCGCCTCCGGCGTGAAAGCCAGCGACGAACGATTCCGAGGATCCCGAAATTCACCCGGCGAGCGACGTCGCGGGGAAACCCACCTGGTGGCGGACCAGGCGAAATAATACCTTCACGACTGGTCCGGCGGAAGGGGTCGGTTGTTGCGAACACCGTGAGAATCAAAGGGGTCGACCACCAGAACAGGAAGACCTCTCCACCGGGGTCGCCGCTTCACCTCTCAAGTGGCCCACGGCCGTGGGCGTCAGCCGAGGAGGGAACGAGGTCCCGAAGTCGTCCCATTCTGACAGGAAGAAAGAATGAAACAAACATGATGCATGTGTGCGTGACCATGTCTGTTTCAGAACCTTCAACGTGACCTTTTGAGATCCCAGGATGAGGTCACTTAGGCCTGCAACAACCCTTCGAGACTCCAAAGAGGTCACTTTGCTCCGGTCCTGGTCATGAAAAAAACGCTGAAACCGTTGTGTTTCTAGCAAACCTCAGAAACTGGAGGCGTCCGCATCCAGCATCCTCGCCTCCATCAGCGCGGCGGCCAACTTCGCACCCGCCGCGCCCTCGGGCACCACAGCCTCCGCGGAGCCCGTCACAGCCTCCTGCGGATAGGGCGGTTGAAGCAGCTGAGGGAAACTAAAGGGCGGAGCTGGGGGCCAGCGTTTTGCTGCAAGAATTGGCTCAGTTATACAACTTTAATACTAAAGTTTTATATATTAGGTTCATAATTACATATATATATAAGGCTCTCTCAATTTCCCTGGACAATAAAGGCTAACCTTGTTCCCCCTGTTCGACCTGTCTGGTGGGGAAACCGTTCCCCCCAAAAAAGCTACGCTCCCACTCACTAACATGGAAGTGGATTCCACCCCCTGTTTGTACAGGAGAGTAGTCTTCCAAGGGACAGTGCCATCCACTTCCATGTTAGTGAGTCAGAGTGTAACGGTTAAAGGTTATCCACTGACTGACTGGGTAGGGTCTTGCATGTATACATATATATATATACAGTATTTATATATATATATATGTGTGTATATATATATATATGTGTGTGTGTGTGTGTGGGCTAATGAAACTCCGAAAGTGGACATTGCAGTTCTTCCGTGCTGTTGTGATGTTTTTGTTTGGCTTTCGGGTTGGTCGATCCATCCGTTGGAATGTTTGAAGACAGCCGCCTGGCTGAAGACTAGCCTGGCTAACGGCTTGCTGTTTTGGGCCAACTGGCTGGGGAGTTGGGCCAACTGGCTGGGCTGTTTTGGGCAAACGATGCAGCGTGGTTGTACTTTCCCCTGCCCAAACCCTCGGGCGTGAGCTTACATCCGAGCGACTGCCTCGACTGGCTCACACTGTGGAGTTTTGGGACCGAAGGGCGGGGCATCTGCAGCGCTCGGGTTCTACACATTCACTGTGGAAGTCTTAGCTCACCAGTGGGGAGGTGCATCACAGAACTCATGAAGACTTCCATCTGAACCCCTATCGCTTGAAAGAAAGGAACAAGAAGAGAGAGCGAGAGCGAGAAAACAAAATATGTTTAAAATGATGAAAACTGGAAACAAAAAAATGCCTCTGCCTCTCCTCCTTCACTTCGACAGGCTCGTCGTGCACATCCTTTGGCACCAAGGGCTCTTTCTCATCTTTCAGCTCACTGTCAGGCCTTGTCAACAAGCGACCACAAGGGCATCGGCTTCACCAAAACGACCACAGAGGTACGGGTTCCAGGGGTTATATAAAACAGAACAATCAACTTCTGATCAAAGGATTGGTAGTGTTGATCACTTCTCTGTCAACCACAAAATTGCAGAAGAAAGATGAAGAAAGAAGAACCGACTTCAAAGCCAAAGGAGTTATCTACAAAACAGGCTTTACACGTTTACAAGGTTCAACAAAAAAACACACACATTCAATCAAATCCATGCATTTGGCAGTTGGGCCAGTTGGGCCATGCTTCAACATGAACCCCGCTTTAAGCCATGTCTGAACCATGGACCAGTCATGACCAGTATTCCTTTAGAGTCCCCTGGCCTCGCCGTTCAGGCGAAACCACGACGATGCCCGCCTATTCGGGGCCATAAGGCCAGCAAAGCAGCTTGAACAGCCCTGGCGTGTGGAAATACGTGGCGTGTGGATCCTCTTTTTGCAGGGCGAGTTTTTGAAAAGGAACGATCCTGCACAGGGGATGGGTTTTTCAGTGGCCTCTGCATGCCTTCTCGGAAAAAACCCGCAGGCCTCCTGGCCCCACCTCACGGGAAGGAGGATGTCTTACTAAAAGCTGCATATGTGCATGGATGCCTCACTAGGGAGGCCATCAGAGCCAGGGAAATAGCTGTACTCAGACTGCTTGGGGGGTTACAAGTTGCAAAGCTCCAAAATGCACCATGGCCCATTGCGGAGATGCTGTCTATATATAAATATACATACATACATACATACATACATACATACAAACAACCAACCAACCAACCAACCAAGCAAGCAAGCAAGCAAAACAAAACAAAACAAAACAAAACAAACCAAAACAAACCAAACCAAAACAAAACAAACAAAAGCGCGAAAAGAATACACGGACACTCAAGGCATCAAACGAACGCATGGTTTCAACTGCCCAAATCTGCCCCATATCGGCACATCGGCGCGTTTTACCCGTCTGGAAGTGTTTCAGACGGCGCATCAGCCGGCCTGCCCCATGTCACAGCCTGCAAGAAATGAGAATTGTAGTAGGGATCGAGCTCAATTGCTAAGGCATTGCTCAATGTATTCCCTCTACCTGGTGGTGCCATGTCAGTAGATGAGTACTAGTTATGTTTGAATATATATATATATATCTAACAAGACTCCAGCACTCCAATGTCTGAAAGTGGCAGCTTCCAGGCTCCAGCACTGCCTCGTCTCTTGGGCAGTCAGGGTAACGTCGCTGCGGGCTAACGATTGATGTCGGCGCGCACACAGCTTGAGGTGTCACAACGGGAGGATGCGTGTGAAAGATCGACAGCGCAGCGCATCGAGATAAGGCGATTTCGGGGGTGGATCGACGTCGCCGCCATCCATGGGAACCGTCACACTCCATCCATTCGCTCCCTACTTCCAGCGTCGCCACGGTGGGCGCGTCGAAACCGGTTTTCGGGACCCTTCGGAGTGGTGCCACCGGCGAACGGAACCGCGGCCGGCGGCATCGAAGCATCGAAGACCTAAGCATTTTGGTACAAGCACCGCCACGCCAATGGCCATTGACAAAAGCTCTTGATAGCAATTGGTGCATCGGCACGTCCGCGGGCACTCACTTAAAGTGTGCATCCAAACTGGTGGCAGGTATGATGGAGTTTGAGTTGTGTCAACAGTGGTGTTTACCGGGCCTGTTTGGACAGGCATAGACCAAACACGGCTCGTGTCATGACCACGGGCAGCGGGCGGTATGTCGGCGAACACCTGGCACCAGGAGGTCCGGCCTGAGTTGGTCCTTCCACTTCCATGTGAGTGATGTTAGTCAGAGCGTCAACGTGCAGCAAAACATGCAAAACACTCATTGATACTCATTGCTCCCACTTACTGTAGGTCATGACCCTGAAAACCTCTGTTCTCAGATCCGGTGGCCCCCCCGGTCTCAACTGCACGCCGGCATGCGCACAATTAACCTGTGAAACCAGTCGCCGCACGCCACTCACAAAGAGGCTGCCGGACAGGTGATGAGGATCGGCAAGCCCTGAGCCAAACAGTTGGGGGAAGTCCCCATCACTGCTTGCGGGCTGCTCCAAAAGTGACCATCCACCAAAAGCATGTTAGTTACTAGTAGCTTCTTGTTCCTAGTAGTAAGGCCAGGAGCTACGTTTGTAGCGTCCTTGCTCCTAGTAGCGATGCCCGTTGCTGCTAGTAGCTTCTTGTTCCAAAAAACACCATGCACTCCTGGCATGGAAACCTCTGCCCAGCGCCTGGCTCTTACAGGCCATGTGTCCATCGAGCCTGCCGGGCTCGATAAGCGGAGGCCGCCCAGACCCTCGCATGCCGTCCTGCCCCGCCCAACAGGGACGGAGGATCCTGGTCTTACATACGATACACCCATTTCTGAGGTCGATACGGACAGTGCATAGCACACTTGAGGCACCCAGGGCACGCAGGGCCCCACTTGAAAAAGATCAACTGGTGCCCCTGATAGGTTCAACAGTTGCCAGAACGCCTCTCCTCCTGAAGTGTGTGGCACGTTTCGGACACCTGGAAGGCTTGAGGCCTTGCAGGTCGTGTTTGCTGGCAACATTCACATGAACCACACGAACCACAAGGTGGAGAGTCCACATGGAAACCATTCAAGCCCTCCCCCCCTGTCGAGTTGTGCCCTCACCTGGGGTTTTTGGGCCAACACCTGCAGTTGAAGGACGTGTTTTCCAGCCCACATGCCCCCTCAGCCGAGCCCGGTCCCCGCCTCGTGGGGCCGCCGCGGCACGCCGCCTCGCGGCGCTCGCGGCGGCACGGGCAGGCAGAGGGAGGCGTGGGGTGTCCAGCCCATTTGGATTGAAAAACCTCAAAGGGGGGACTCGTCTGCAGTCTGCATTATTGCACTATACTTGATGTCAGATTGGGCTGCGGCTACGCGAAGCTGAGCTGAGATTCGATGTGCCTCATTTTGAAAAGTTAGAAGAAAATTAGTAGTCCATGAATCATTTGAGAGAAGATGTCCAAATACCGCGGGTCAGGCCATGGTTCTTCCAATTTTATATGGAACAACCCCCCCTCCAATGTCCAACCTCTTCAATTTGATAAGTAGTCTCCGAACAACAGCAGAAAAGAAGGCGGACCAAAAGCGACACTATCCAAGAAAGGTCTTCACCTTATAGGACCGTGTCAGATATGCCCTTCCAACCCTGCCACCCTGCCCTTCCACCTGCCCCAACCGGGCTCTGAAGAGCCTCCATAAGGCTCAGGGGAGACTGACCGACGTTCCGGAACGCCACGCGGGAACCCATAACGCGGGAACCCATCGCGCGGGCTCGAAGAGGGCCTCGGGCGGACCGGGCGGGCTCTCCCGCAGCCGGGCATGGAAATCCTGAAATCCTCGTGTTCGGGTGCAAGTCACTTCGGTTCTCTTGCTCAGGTCTGAGTGGGGCGAAAATCGCTGGTCCATAAGGGTTTTCGTAAATCTATATAGGGCTAGGTGGGGTCTTAGCAATACAAAACTCAAGCACGCCCAGGCAACCACAGTGCACCTAAATCTCAAGTTGATGGCACATATTTGACGGGCTGCAGGGCTGCACGGGTTCATAAACTTCAATCCTGTATGACTCACCCTGCAAAAGAGAAGACCATCCAAAATCCAAAAATCGGTGTCACTCGCATTTTACGACATGTACAATATAAGCAATTACGTCATTCCAAATGAACGGTGTGTGTGTGTGTGAGTGTTTTTGCGCCCTTCAGGGGAGAGAGGTTCCTGAAATGGTATGAAATGGTAATGGGGTATCCGCGGGACTTCTTTGCAAACAGGAGTGAGTCCGGGCGTGTGCTTCGATTATCCGTGAGTCCCGCCAAATCATATGCAGGATGTTTGCGTTCAGCCTTCAATTGCGATCAAAGGAAGGAGTTGTAGTTCCTCTGCTCGCCCATCAATGGATACTGCTTGATAGAGAAGCCCATCTTTCCTTCGCCAGCTGCATCTCTCCTCGTGACCTTTTTGGAGCCCCTCTTTGTCGCCAGTTTCCAGGCTTGGGCAGTTTTTGTGCGCAGAGCGCTCCCTCCACAAGCATGAAGAGACCCAAACCAGCTGGTCAGTCGGGGATCCGCTCGACCAGCGGAGTCGACCCATGCCCGTGGGGCACCGTGGGCCCCCAGGCCACTGCTGAGAGACGGCGGAGGAGCCGCCGAAGGCCTGAGGCCCACGGTCGTCTGCGGGCATCTGAAGTGATGCCACGAGAATCCCATTGTGGACTTCGTCTGCAAGTGGGGAGAAAGGTGCCTTTGAGATCCTTCGGAGGATCACCAGGTATATAACTTGTATATTTATTGCTATTGCATTTGCTATTGCATTTGGCTCCAGCAAGGTCCGCTCTTCAGTTTATTCTTCATGTCCCAATGGTGGACCCTCTGCTGTGTGTCTGTGTGTCCCATTCTCTTCCCCTTCGTGTCTTCGGCCCTAAGGGGTATGGTATGTTCCCGACCCGAGTGGAAGGCCACGAACAACCCTCAGTTGCCGGATCATTCGAACAGAAAGCCCCAGGCCTTGGCCTGCAAGGTGCTTGCAAAGGAGGCCGACGTCCTCGAACCCCATGTGGGCGCTGGAAACCACAGTGGCAGTTTTCGTGTTTTCCTGTTGTGTTGACATGTGCGCCTGGAACAGAGCCGAAAAAAGGGGATTCACAATGCAGTTTTGTTGACCCCCACACAGTTTGGCAGGAATTCTCCGAAAAGGGCAGCTGGGCAAGGCTCGGAAAAAGTGTTTTTCTGTTTTTCGAATCTCGAATGTGATCTTTGCCAGATCATGTTGAGCTTGAGGATGGGCACCCGCCATGCCAAGTCTTGTGTCCTTCACACATAGCAGTTGAGGGCGTACCCCAAAACAGAAACACCATGAAGTACCTACCTCCTAGAAGGCAACAATTGCACCAGAACCCTGCCAATATAGAATGGAAGTGTTCACCAACCCCAGAAAAGGAGAATCCACTTGGAGCAACGACACACGCGTGGTCCGTCCCCCTGCCCCGGTGCTGCTTCTGACCTGCTGCTGCGCAGCACGCCGATGCCAGAGTCATCGCCTAGAGATGGAGATGGATCAACAAAAAAGTGGATGAGCCATTAGATCCTCTACCAGCACCTTCCAACAGGTCTCCTTTGGAGGGTTGTTAGGCCCTAACAGGTTTCAATTGGTGACCTGTTGGAGGTGCTGGTATAGATTGATGGATGATCTTTGGTTCTATGGATCGTCATGATGATCCTTGGGTGATTTGACCGTTGGATCTCGGTTCTACACTGATTTATTGTTGGTTCTACTATGTTCTCATCCAGAGCAACATGTATAAATTGAAGAACTCCAAGGGTGCATCATCATTGAGGAGTGTTCATCTGAACAGCTGGGTGGGGTCCTCATTCACTTGGCCCACTTCCGGCACAGGACACTGACCGCGAAAAAAGGACGCTCCGAAACGACGACGCTCCTAGAGCGTAAGAATAAAGCCGGGCACTCGGGCGTGAGGAAACGTGAGAAGTACCAAATAGAAAGCCCAGGCACTGTAGATCTCAAAGCTCACATCTGAATTGCACAATGAAAATGAATGAAATCCAATTGATATGGTGGTATGAAGTCAAGCGTATCAAGAGGTGTCTTGGCCCTAAAATGTGACGAAGTGTTTTTTGGAAAGCCTGATGACGTTGAGAGAATGTCACTTCACTGCCCAGTTTAAGGAGGCAAATCAGCCATGCGCGGAGGCTTGCATGTCTGGTAAGAAGAACTCAGATCAGCTGAACTGCTTGTGTAGGTCAAGCAGAGTCTTTCCATAACTCCTCTACGAGTTCTTTGGGCCCTTGCCCACCTGGACCCCCCAACCAACCCGGCGCTCGATGCGCTCACCTGCGCCCGTCCAGGCGCTCGTCCAGTGCCGCCAGGGCGAGGCCTCGCCTGGTGGGGCAACAGAGGACTCAGAGGACAGGGGTGTCGCCTCGACTCGTCTCGACATCGAGCGATGTCCCACCTCGATGAGTCCTGAAAGCGTTTTGGGTTGCCATGGCTCGTCTTTTTCCCCGGAGGAGCTATCGGTCCTTGTGGCAGTCAACGTACAGGTGCACGCGCAGTGTGATCTCCATTTCAGTCTAAGGAAGTCTTGCCCCCCAGGTTCCGCTCCAATTCCAAGTGCGCGCGACCGTAATAGTGGATAGTGGAGGTTAGCTTTGGCTTCCACGCGGCCTCAACCCCAGGGTGAGGCACTCAGCTCCATAATACCGGCTTGACACTCGGTCTTCAACCTTTTGGGAGGCCGCGTCAGCTGGACCTACCAGAATGGATACGTCGATATATATATATATATATACTTCAAGAACCCTAAAATTTATGCTTCTTACTCTGTTCCAACATGACACTTGCGGTCTACAGCGGATCGGATTGACACGTCCATTTGCCTGGCAGGTACAGCACGGTCAGATTTCCACACCCGTTTAAATTTATAATACTTATAAGGCTTTCAGGTGTCGAAATCTGACCGCAACTTAGGTGTCGACATGTTGCACGTAGGATTCTAAGGGGAAGGGGTTTGTCCCGTTTTAGAAGTCAAGAAGCGTAACTTTCGGCACCCCAGTGTATATATACATCTAATCAATTTTTTCTTCAGTCCATGCAACAGCCCCCAGGAAAAAGACGAGACCATGTTTGGAGACCATGGCACTTCCTATGGGCCTTTTGGAGGACCTCCCCTTTCTGCAAGAACAATGCCAACCAGCTTGCTTTCACCTGATCGACGGTCCCATCTTCTGCGCCTTCACGGCCGAAGTCCGTCGGTCGGGGCCTGAGACATGAAAGATCTGGTGAACAGAAATGGGCGAAAGAAATGGACTTTGGCCCCGCACATGTTCCCCAGCTTCAGCGTCGGAGCGGCCTGGCATCGAAGGCAGTTGGCGAAAGACAGGGCCTCGACGGATACAAACCACCCAGCCCCTCCGTCAACCCCTCCGTACCTTGAGCAAGAAGCGCCCCTCTTTGTCGTCGTTCATCTCTTCCTGCAATGGCCAACCGCTACTCAAAGAAGAGTACACCACTTCGGACTCACTGGTTGCAGGACTGCCCGGTCTGCCCATGCCTAGATTGATTGGCGCAAAATCCAGCCTTCGATGTGCGGCTGCAGACCCTTCTAGACAGTTTGAGGGACCCAATTGGGAAGCCCCTCCCAATGGTCTCAACCTCTGCTCTTGCTCCTGGAGGTCTTGCGGAGTGGCCTCAGTGAGTCTTCGGGCAGTCGATGATTGGCTCTGGAGCCTTGGGTGGTTCTCCAGGTTTCTACACACCCATGTGGCGTGCCTAAATGTTGTTTGCCATTCAAAGTGACATCCGTTGATTGGCCCTTTGGGTTCCATGGGCATCTGTTTCGGTATCTTCTCATCATTGGCCTCTTTCCATTGTAATGATGACTCTTGGGTGCATTCCCACGTGCTGAAGGAAGGCTGGAGGCGGTGGGTGGAACACATCTTGCTTGGCTGCTTGGATAATTTGAACTCAGGATGCTCTGAACCCAACCAACGTCCAGCATAAGGAGCCTGTAAGCATCCTTGTTCTTTTCAACACATGGTTTGTCCACTTGGATTTGTTTGTTTCTCCTGCGCTTGAGGGGAGATATGCACATATATATATATACATTGTATACCACCCTCGCATCGAAGGGTCTCTCCGCGTCGATGGCATGCTAGATGCTCTGATCCAAATGTGCACTACGCCCAACTGCAATGTAAAAAACCGTCAGGCAGGAGAAAAGGGGACGCGCCACGACTATATACTGCATATGCATGGTCATATGTATATATAGTTTTACTATATATATGCGTGTTTCAGGAAACATCAAGACCAAAAGCGTAACCAAGACAGCAACCGTTTGCAGTTTGGTTAGCTTTTCCGTCCATGGATCCAGTCTTGTTAAGAGATGCCAGACTGGGATGGTACCCAAAACCGCCACCGATCCCAGTCGACAGAAACAGAACCATGGAGGAAAGCCGACGCCGGGCACCCTGAAGGAAAACGGGTCCATGGGTGTCGTGCACCATGGGTGAAAAGTAGAAGCAAAAATCCACCGCTCAGCCATCCTGCGCTTGTAGGGATTTCAGGGCCCATGGCGCCTGTCCCTAGCTACACCTATGATGGAGGAGCAGGCAGTCGGGCAAAGTTCGTGAAACACCCATTTCATCAGCGTGTAGCTCTTCAAGGGCGCCGCAGTGCGGAGGCGCTTCGCCGGGTTGAAGCCATTTGGATGAGGGTGAGTCAACTCATCCGCCCAAGTGTTCAGGTCACGTTTCACATGAGATGGTGCCAATTGGCAACCACCTTGGTGCAAGGAGAGGACAAGCTCCATCAGTATTGCTGCCGTTTGCATTTTTCGAGTGGATTGATTCAGCATCGCAAAAATGTTGCCCTGGTTGTCCGACATCAGCAGTATGCGGAACTGGTGCCTATTGCGAACCCCTTCTCCATGAGAAGAAAGCCAAGAGGAGAGAGCCTATAACATCTCCAGAGGGGGGATGTTGGCCCTGGGATTTGCCTTCAAGAAGGCCTATGGGAAATGCTGAGCCCACTGGATTTGACCGCTCCCTGCTTTTCAGAGCCCTTGGCGGCGGCAAGGCGGTCCTAGCTTGAAAGCCGGGGGGCGGAAGCCGCCCTCTCCCGGGTCAACTTATGGATCTCGCGGAGACCCTTGAGTTCAGGGTTCGACAAAATGACCTCCCAGATGGCATTCAAAACCTCATGGAGGCCCTGCTCCTTGGTGAAGTGCATCCGTGCCACTGAGTTGATTGGCTTCCAGGGCAACATCGCGAAGAGGAGCCACCGCCTCCAGGCGCTTGTAGTACTCCATGCGGCTACGGATCCAGCTCTATAGAGGTGGTGAGGGGGCTCGTCCAGGATGAGCTGCGTCCCTCCAGTTGGACAAATCAGGCGCCACCCCCGATTGGCGCGCCAGAAGCCCTGGCAATGCTTGCAGCAGTAGCCACCACAGGTCAGGCCCTTCTGCTTCACCACCACATCCCAGGGCTCACGCTAGACAAGATCAGCCCGCACTCTTTTCAGAGCCAAGGCCAGTTCAAGCAATCCTCCGGCAGTGCGATGCGAATCTTGCTGATTTCCTGGTCGGAGTGGCCCAGCTTTTTGTACAGTAGGCCTTGGCATCTGAGACTTGGGCCACCCACCAAATCTCTGTGTTGCACCGCCAAGCTACCCGGACCTCCACGTGGGAGTCCTTGTCGAGGTGAGGCCGAATCTTCTGGTACACCGAATCGGAGGGATCAGAGGAGGAGCCTGCCAACGTGTCAGCGGCACGGCCCCTTCCAAGATTGTCTCCTCAAAGCGACCGAGTGGGATCGAGGGTAAACGAGCTCACCGTGGGGGCCTCTTCCAAAAGGTCCCAGTCAAAGATTCCAGAGCCGGAGGCGGACATGGCAACCCAGAAATAGAATGAGGGGAGAACAAAAATGCTTTTTCACTTTGAGATTGCAGGCTTGAGCCAAAATGGCATTGCATTTTGGCTAGTGAAATGTATTCCAGAAACATAACCTGCTTTCCACAGGTTCCAAGCACGTTCTAAATAACTATAAATATATATATATGCAGTACTAGTACCCACACAAACTCGCCTCTGTCTCAGTTGGTTGAGAAGGCCAGCACTTCACCATTTTCCCAAAGACCAAGGCGGCAAGCATGTCTGAAACTTCTTCTGGCGCTTTTTTCACCTTCAACCTCTTCCACCACTTCATCACCGAGCTATCCGGACAGCCGTGGAGATGAGATCCTCATCCTGCACACCGTGGTTCCGGCTCCCTCTTCTGCCAATAGAGCCTTACAAATTAGGGGGAGGGGGCTTCCACACAACTCTTAAGGGGATTAACTCATGTTTCTTGTCATCTATCTAACCCCACACACACACTGTATATATTATATAGGTATATACAAAGCACATGGACAGACGTTGGGGTTACCAACGGCCCACGGCCCACCTCCAAAATTGATCGAGCGCTCTGATCCTGGAATTCCCTTCAGGAAAGCTTCAAACATGCAGGTTTGCGATGATGCACACTAGCATTGATGGGGCCCGTTGGTAAACCAATGGTCATTGGTCATCTTTCAGAATCATCTTGCAACTGGGTGTCAACCTCTTGAGGTTGAACACTTCTTTATGTCTCAACCCTTCCGGCTCCGTTGCGTCCCATAGACTTCGAAGACTCCAGTTGAGCCCCAGTTGCGCCCGTACCGCCCGCACACGGCGTCTCCACACGGCGTCTCCACACGGCCCCTGGCCTTGGCAGGCTGAAGGCTCCTGGCACAAGCAGCGAGCGTTGTTGGGGTGCCACGTCGCGATCTCTCTTCCATTGGAAACTGTATACGCCACGCAGCAGGGGCTTCGGAGTTGGCAAAATTCGCTGGTGGATCCGATCCACTTCATCAAAGCATCGATGGTCTCGGAAATTCTTGGACATGTCTAAATCTCAACAGGAGAACAGTCCTGCACTACGCAGGTCACATGGGTATACAGTTAGTGTTGAAAAAATCCGTGGATATTCCCAAAAAGCAACTTCAGTGGTCTATCTATCTATCTATCTATCTATCTATCTATGTGTGTGTGCACTGTATTGGCCCCCACCCACTATCACTCACCGCCGCACGAGCACCTCTGGCTCCCTCCTATGTCCCCCACCTCGCCTGGGCAGTCTTCGTGTGAGCCGCCTGGCAGGAGCGGGCCCGACGTCCCCAGACGTCCCCCGACGTCCAAGACCGTCTTTGGGAGCCCTGGAACGTCCAAGACGTGGAACGTCCAAGACCCCCTGGGATTCTTTTAACATGGTCTTTGAAGAATGACCCCCGAGTCTAGGAATGTCCTAAACTTAGGTGCCAAAAATGGTCGAACTGGACTTCTAGGGATGATTGACTGCACCCTTTTTTGCGAGGGCGGTGTTTGTCAGAGAAGGCCCCCAAAGTTTGATCGTTCAGAATGTGAGCTCTTTTCACGGAAGATCCATCATGAGGATTTCTGATGGTCATTTGCCATTCTATGACCATTGTTCATTGAACATGTGAAGACCACAGAACAATCTTGTGTTGGCATTTCATGGCATTTCATTGTTCACGGTCACAGAACAATCGCAACGTGACTCTTTCAGGCATGGGCACGAAGGTGGGATTCATGACCTTCCACTCTCCGCTGCAAACTTGGATGCGGTTGTATAGGTGTTTGAACCGAGACCGCTCCCCCCAAAGAAAAGAGTGCGCACTCCCGAAAAGAAATGCTACAAACTGTATACAGTGCCTGGTGCTAGAATCAACACCAGAGAGGGCCTAGAAAAGTAAAAATAAAAAACGTTGAAAAGGACTTTGCCAAGGGCCCCCCCCTTCGGATCCCACAAAATAAGTGTCGATTCTTGCCGCGAGTATCTGATAAACACCCTCTTAAACTCTGAAGCATCACCTGAGCTTCACCGGAGTTCACCCCCTCACACAGGAAGAGAAAGACCGGACTTCAGCCCCATACCAACCCCCCTCGAGTGCCCGGACTCCGCGACCTGCGGCAGGAGAGGGACACTGGAGGTACGAAGTCAAGGTGCTTGTGCGAACGATGTCAAGGTACCTTTCCTTTCGCCCTTTGGACCCTGGTTTGAGAGGAAAGGACCCTATAGGATCCATATTTTGGGTGGTGAGTGATCTGTAGAGGTGACTCATGTTCTAGCGGCTATGTGTAGGTTTTAGCCCAAACTAGCCCGGCACTCGAACCTGCTCCATCTCCGCGTTCGCCGCGAGTCACCCGCCACCTCTTCCACGGTTCTGGGCACCGGGCGCGGAGGGTCAGGTCGGTGAGGGTCATCCAGAAGGCATGGGCCTGCGACCAAAGGCCGCGAAGGCGGCGAAGGCCGCGGCGGAGCAGTCTCCAGTGGCCGCGCGGGGAGGAGGGCGGCAACGAGCGCTTCGAAAGGAGAAATGAGACCATGCGGCGAGTGACCATGCCCCCCCGCACGCGAAGAAGACGTACAAAACTGAATGGTTTTGAAAGAAGAGATAAGAAGAGATGGGGAAGACGAAAAACCAGTCACGAGATCCTCTACGTACCCCCAACCCTCGATCCCTTTCGTTGAAGGGCGCGACCACGCGCCGCCCGCACATGTTGCGCGGTCGGCCGCCGCTCGTGCCTGTCCAAGGTTGAGGACTAGCCGGTCACCATCCAGCAAGTGCCGCTGCTCCCCCTTCGCCAGGACCTCAGCACAACAGCGACACCAGGACACCGGGCCTCCAGATCGCTGCGAGATCCGGGTGCCGGGATGCGGTGGGAAGGGTGGCCTTTCTCCAAAGCCCGCGATCCGCGATGCGCGGGCACTTCCCATCGGCCGGTGCCAGTTCTGGGTGCGGTGCGCAGGGTTCACAGGCCTGGAAGGAAGTCCACCGCGCGTGCGACGTCGCAACGCTCGTAGCAAAGCATCTCGGGTTGGCTCAAGGAACCGGAAAAATGAAAAAAGTTACCCTGAAGGGGATTCACCCATAAGGAAAGAATCACTAAGCAAAACCAAGTCATGGTAACGAGGCGACAGGGGATTTGGGGACCAGCATCCCCACTCCAGGGAATCATGAAAGACCTGTGAAATCAGGCGTCTTGGACAAAACAGGTTGGAATTCGTCTGTCCACCGTTGCAATGGTCGATGATTCTGTGATTAGACGAATCACCGCCCCTTGTTGGCCTGATTAGCACTCAAACTAGCAGCTCAGCCTACGGTAGGCGGGCTCCATGTTTCATAAGTTGCACGAATCTGAAGAAGTTGTTCAAGAGAATGTCCGTTCATCTTGTCTTGAACCGTGTTCTGCAACGTCCGCTGCCCGTACTGTTCACTGCTGGACCTGTTCCTGCCCAAGCTGAGCACTGTGGAAGGCAGGCGGAAGGTGCAAAGAATCAAATCCAGGCCCAGCGGAGACGGCGGAGAACCAAAGAGATCCTCCAGACAGACTACTGAGTGACTACTCTATAGTCTATAGTAGGTCCGATCTCAATGAGAGCATCGCCCAACATGGCCTCCTCTGCTCATGGCTTGTCAGAAACGTTCCTGAGTTGTCAAACTTGTTGGATGTGCCTTTCTTGAAGAATTCCACAGCAAAAAGGTTTGTGAAAAGGTGTTCATGATGCCATTCCCCACCCCATAACAGGGTCGGGACCTTGATCCGTGTCCAAAAAATAAGCCCCTCCACGACGCCCAAAAAATGAAAAGGCCTCCATGTTGGCGACCACATGGACCGGATTCACTTCGCCTCAACCACAAAATGAGGAACCGAGGAACCCAGAAAAATCCAGAGCTGCCGTGACTTCAGTGTCCTGTTGGTGACAATTCAGATAGGTCTTGTTCAATAACAACTGATGTCTTTTTGTGAACACGCCACCAGAAAACAGCGTGCCGAGTGACGAAGTCCAATCTCAGGAACTCTTGTTAAAAAGGAAGTGTCCAGGTCCTTATACTTCTTTGTGTCTCTTGAGTCTCTGAGTTTGTTCTATGTGTACAAACATCCGTAAAGTAGATTCAATGTTCTTTTGAGGCCATCGCTATGAGGTTGGAGGCCATCGCTATGAGGTTGGAGGCCATCGCTATGAGGTTGGAGGCCATGGCTATTAGGTTGGAGGCCATCGCTATTAGGTTGGAGGCCATCACTAGTGGGGTGGAGGCCATGGCTAGTAGGTTGGAGGCCTCAAAGTTCTCTTGTAGGTTGTATAGTCTCTTGAGTCTCTGAGTTTGTTCTACGTGTCACCTACAGTAGGTGCCTTCATTCACCCTTGGGATCCTGGAGCACACCGGACTGCCCCGGCTTTTTCACGCAGAAGCCCATCTCTCCAGCCATCTCGACCAAGCAGCTCAGGTTCCTCGCCACAAAGGAGAAGCGCCCGTCGCCGGCTCTCCAAGTCTGCACCTGGCGATGGCACATCCGGCAGCAGGTCTTCAACTGCCAGTCTTTCTGACCAAACATTGGGATCTGGTCAAGCTCAAGAGCCACCTTCGGCTGGCGCAAGCCACAACATGTGGTGCGAGTAACTCTACACCAAGTGTTTCTGGATATACGGTAGCTGCTGACCAAGCTCTAAAACCACCGAACATACACCACCCCTCTCCGCCTTACCTTACCGCCTTACCGCCCCCCTCCGGCGACTTCGGCCTGAAGGTGCTGCCGCGACAAGGTGCTGAGCGCGTCCGGCTGGAGCACCTGGCAGGGTGGACACCGTCCGGGGAGGAACTGAACCAGCTCACGGCGGAACCGGCGGAACCCAAACCGGCTGGTCGTCCGGTCTGCCAAACGATGCCGGTTCTGCAGCTACTCATTCACCACACGCGTCGTGGAGAAAGTGTGTGGTTTTGGACAGCCATGTCGTGCCCTTCCACCACCCCTGTGCGACCACCTACCACCTACCAACACTTTCAATTGTTAGGGCCTAAGTGGTCAACTAGGCAGAGCCGCCCCTTCCATCGCCCCGAAGACGGGACCTGAACCGTCGACTCAAACCTTCTTTGTTGGGGACGACTCGCCCCGGAAGTCGACACCGGCCGTCCGATCGACCTCCCCCGGGTCGCTGGGCGACCGCTTTTCAACGCCCTGCGCGGGTCGGTCGACCCCGGTCCTCCGGCCAGAAGTCCAACTGATGGGCCCGGCCGATGAGGAAGGAACTGCCGGAGGGCGAGGATGGGCGTCCGGGGAGGGTGAGGATGGGCGTCGGGGAGGGTGAGGATGTTTCTCAAAACCGAGCGTGGATTCTTTGCGGCACGGTATGTTGAGATTATATGTATATATATATATATATATCTATCTATCTATCTATCTATATATATTTATTTATTTATTTATATATATTTTTTTGTTTTTTGAAATTCGTGGCTTTCGCTGCCCCTCTTGGAGCGTGCAATTCTGAACACCATTGGGGTCATCATCTTCTGGAGAATCTACATGACTGTGGAAAGAGCTGGTGTGGGTGGATGCCAGTTGCCCACGCCCCCCTCGAGGTGAGGAGAATCCAAATGAACCCGTTCACTTCATCGCATCCAATCTATAAGTCCCAAGTTAGCGCAGGATTTGAATATCCAGGGCACCAAGTTAGACTGTGCAAACAAGAGGCAACTCGAGTAACCGTGCAAGGACCCATCGATCAACCAATCGAACTGATCTTCTGATTCTGCTGCCCAAAAGTTCTTTGTTCTACACTCCCTGAAACAAAGCATGGAACTGGACAATCCCACGTTTCTAGAGGAACAATGGTATTCCAGGAGGCCCAGAACATCCACATCCATGATTGTTTGAGGGAGGGTCACCATGTCAATGCCCTCTGCACCGAGTTCCTCCGCAGCCTGAAAGGCTCCTCCCCGCTCATCACAGGGGCGAAGGCCAGACGCCGCTGCTCGTCCGGCAACTGCGGCGGAGGTTCGGAAACGGATCGACGGACGGGTTTGAAACCACTGAGACGGACGGGTGTCACCCACTGGTCGAAGAGTTCCGGAGAAGAACGACGAACGGGACGAACGGTCGAAAAGAAAAGTGAAGGGCTTTGACGCCAGCAACAATTAACAAAAATTGCAATGGCTAGCCGCTAGTAGCCGCTTGCCCAAGAGCGGGTGCTAATCCACAAAATTCCTTGGTGGCATTGACAACTAAAAGCTTTAATGTAGAGACGAGGGACGAGCGACGCAATCAAATCAGGTCAGATCTGAAGAACTACCCTCTCGCAAACTGACATGGCACCTGAGAATCGACCATCTTCCTCTACCACCCATGTGGTCCAGGTGACTCCATATGGTCCAGGTGAAGGGGCTCCCAGACTCACGTCTGCTCCCTGCCCTGTGAAAAGCCAGACCCGCCTGCATCTTTACGCCGGGCCCCAGCACCTCCAGGAAGAGTGCTGGATCGCTTCTCTCCACCTGCAGCACAGCGCAGCACGGCGCAGCGCGGCTGCGCACCGACCGCACCGCAAGCGCACCGTCCAACGTGCAGGATCAGGGCGTCTCCGGGCGTGCTCCACTGTGCTAAACGCACGCGTGGTGTTCGTGACACCAGACCCATGCCGATGCGGCATCTCGAGGTTGGAACCGACAGAAAGAAACTGCCAGTTCTTTTCGCACGAAAGACCTCGGTGCAGAAGTGAAGAACCCTGTGACATGTCGTTGTTCGACCCGGTCCAGCCCCAAGCGTTCCAGGAGAGGTGTTATATATATATATAAATATAAGTGACCTCATAGAACCCCACTGGGTACCTATGCGGTAGTCTATCTCCTTGAACCTCCATTGCTCGGTCGAAAAAACACTCAGGGCCCACCTTGGCAGCGACGTGTCCGCTGCTGCGGCGCGATTCCCTGGTGCCAGCAGCACTAGCAACATTGGCTGGTGCGATGCCCACGGAGCCTGGCCGGGCGACGGAGCGGGCCGAAGGAGGCGGCATGGGCGCTGGTTTGGCGAGCGGGTTCCCCACACTCGGCCCCCCCCGTTCACCCACGCTCGCGGCGAACGGAAGCGCGCCTGCGCTGGCTGGAGCGTGGAGCGCGGAGGGAACGCCCGAGTCTCTTAGGCCAGAAGGGCCTGATAGGCCAGGACAACGCAGCCAGGCAGCCAGGCAGCCAGCAGCAGGGTGTTTTTTGTTTTTTCCCCAAACAGCCCGATCTGAGCGCCGCAGGGGAGTGGGAAGGGAGTGGAATGGGAGGCTGGTCCAGTCTCAAACAATCTGTAGTGGGCTGGCTGCTTGAAACAACTCCATCGAAGAGCATGGACACGGCAACACCCTGAAAGAGATTCATGACCCCCAGATCTGTCCATGGCAAATCCTCGAGAAAACCACCAACCAAAAAAAATCATACAGTATTTATGACATATATATATATGTATTTATGACATATATATATATATGTATATGTATATATCATAGGCCCATAGGCCCACAGGCACTATCACTCCCTTAAACACCAAAAATAAAACAATCAGACCCCCAAAACATCGGACTCCCCTCGCCACCGGTCTAGCAAACCACCGATCCATACCTTCGATGTCGCTCCCTCAGAATCCTTCAGGCTCATGACCCCCCCACTCACCGCCGCAGCCTCCAGGCTCTGCCGCACCGACGCCAGCTTCGCCTGGGCGACCCGCGGGCGCCGTGAGCTCGGTCCGCGGCCGTTCATCCGGTGGCGAAGCACCGGAGGGCTTCAAAGGATCCGATCGCCGCGGGGGCTCCACTCGATCCTGGGGAGTCTGGGAGGATTCCAAGTCGTCTTGAAAAAGAACCAACGGACCTAAGTACAGATATGTACAGAATGTAAATGGTCCATATGTGTTCTTACATCATATTCATGTATTACTAGGGATTCTGCGCGATGGGTCTTGCGGGGGGGAGCTTTTGGTTCGCGTCGAAGCGGTGTTCTGGTGGCGTTCTGCATCTCGGCGGTCATATCGAAATTGTTGGACACTGTCCCTGTTGAGAGAGCCCCTCGCCTGTGTGATGGCTGTTCAGAAATGGGAAGACGAAGACTTGCACTCGACGCTAGGCAAATCAAGCAAATCCATGTGTTCTGCTCATTCACTCATGTTTGTTGCTCTTGTGGGTCTTGTGATGTTCATGTGTTCTGCTCCAAAAGAAGTGATAGAAACTCAGGCATCTGTTGTCAAGGGAACGCACTGTCCCATGCAAAAACGGAGGAGAGGCATACAGAAGTATGAACCCCATCCTTTTGTCTACGCAAGGTGATTGTAGAAAACTGCACTCCCAAAGGCTAAGGCCCATAAGTGGCCCATAAGCGCTTGTAACTTCCTATGGGTTGCTGTCCATAAGTGTGTCCTACGGTTGTGGATCGAAAGGTGTACTTTGAAGCCTCCATCTGGCGTAAACTCGATGCTTTTTAACACGCATGCGGCACACCTCCTCCCAGGTCTCCCGGCGCGAGCCGCCTGGTAGCTCCAACCCCTGGCGGAAGGCTGAAGCCCGCCCCTCTCAAGAGCAGGTGGCACATCTTCGGGACCGCGCATGGCTTTTGGACCTCCTCAACTCCCTCCGCCCTAAAACTGAGCTCCACCCACTGAGCTCCGCCCCTCAACACCAACTGAGCTCCGCCCCTGCAGGCCCACCCCTCGGTCCATCTTCCGTGCTTCGCCTCCAGGCAGGACCGCGACAGGTCAAAGCGGAACTGGATGAACTCCACCTGACCGGACCGGCAGAAGTTCGACGACGGGATGGCCATGTGGCGAGCGGATGGCTGAAGGGGCTGAGGCGAAAGGCCCGGCCAGCCAAACACGTCTTGTGCCACTACTAGAAGCAAGAAGCTACTAGTAGTTCCTGGCATCGCTACTAGGAGCAAGAAGCTACTAGTAGTTCCTGGCATCGCTACTAGGAGCATGAAGCTACTAGTAGTTCCTGGCATCGCTACTAGGAGCAAGAAGCTAC